CTCACTTTATCTTTGAACTCATAGTGTACAATGTTGACGACAGCTAAATCTTCGGAGGACCGATCGCTATGACGCGGTGGTCTTTCGATTTCCGTATTGGAGACTGGCATCACATGCATAGTTCCACTATTTTCATCAGTAGACATGCTGGAAATACGGTGAGCAAATAAGAGCTGTTTCAGAAAGAAAAACGACAGAAGAACAATGTAAGACAGCCGAGCAAAGTCATGATCATTTCCTGCTATATACTTCTACTTGCTAGGTATATAGGCTGTGTTCATACTTTGTGGCAGCGTCCATCCAGCGACCATCCGTTTCAAGCGTCACTCAGTGCGAGCGAATAGAAAAGTAGACATCGATCATGCGAACGCCATCGCCTACCCAGAGTATGGGGAAGTAGTAGGGAGCAGACTGCTGGATAAGAATTGAATTGGACTCCCTACCACTTCTCCATATTCTACCAGTAGTGTGCTACCTTCTTACGTCCCCATTCTCCCCATTCCTGGACGTGGTGGACGCTGGTACGCGCTAGTGCACGCTGGTAGACGCTGGTGAACGCTGCTAGACGCTGGTAGACGCTGTCGCGAAGTATGAATGTAGCCTAACTATAAGTCTGTTTTTGTTTGTCTGCCCGGAAACTCGGTTTCTGAATAGCAACTTGGAAAGGCCTGGGTCAAGGTAGGGAACGGTAGGGCATGGGACAAGATATACATGTGACCTATGCTAAGCCCGGGCAGGGGTTTGCCAGACTAGATAGAGGAGGCGCACCCGAACTGAGCGGAGCGCGCTTGAGTCCTTGAAATCGTTCCTCGAGAGTTTGGAAACGACAAAAAAGTCGATGGGGAAGAGGAATATCTCAAAAGAGTTAAACATGTCCGTGGTGGTTCGAAACCCGCCTACAGCAGGCGAAGCGCGCCTTTAAGCGTAACATACTTTTTCCAAAAAATCGTGGTTCTGTCCCATAGCAGCAATAGGAGAAACGGAGGTGGCGCGAATCGAGAAAATACACATAAGCGATAGACAGGAGGGATATCAACTTATCGCTAGCGAATTAGGAATAAAGAGTCGGAGAATCGGAGAGTAGGAGTTAGCCGACTCCCACTTACTCCTTTGGCGCGCATCCTCGCGATTCGCGCCTACTCCGGATCCCACGATCCCCCCACCCCGATCGATGATACTCATGCTCACCGTCGGTGCGCAGTCTACCATACTCTTCTAGACGCCATCGTAGTTTACCCTCGCACGAACTACTTTTATTTAGCGATACATCTAGCAAAGACTTCGAAGGTACCCCGCGCGCGGTACAGGGGTCAAACCCTTAACCGGCTCCCGCCCAGGTCAACCAAGCCTTCCACATTCCGGAGACGACGAGTTTGCACTCGATGCATCTGGGAGGATAGGAATACTGACATGCACATCGGCTGGCCCCGTGAGCTATTGTGGAGGTCAAATCGCGCTCAATGGACCACTACGATCCTGAATGGGAGTGGAATGCGTGGCGCATCTCAAAAAAGACTGGTAAACGGCAAAAGGTTCAATGTGGCACGAAAATATGTGGCAACGAAAATAAAGTGCAAGAACAACGTCTTGGCACAATTTTGACATGCTGTTCGGGGAAAGCACTTAAGAGTGAGGGAATCACAAGATCGATACGTCATAAGATCCAAAGTTTCAGATGAAAAATCTTTTATGATTCACTTCCGTCCGTCAACAGGACAAACTGATAAGTACATAGCTTTTTTTGTGGAGAAAATGTGACAGAATACAGTCACCCCATGGTCACAATGTTAGCCATTCCATATGAACTAATCGAAGGCACTTTGCCAATTTCATCATTTGCCCTCTTTAATCTAATGGTCGATGGTCTCTACTGGCATACTATTGCATACCTCATTCTGTAGGGCCCCCTCCCCACAAAAAGGGCACTTTCGCCCTATTAATCGCTTTTCAAAGCGTTCAGTTTCTTCTGCTCAGAACTTTGATCATTAGGGAGAGTCCCGACTTTGATTAAAGGCGCGGGCACGATTGCTGGAGGTGCTGGAAGCAGGCGGTTGTTGCCAGCGTCATAGGCGGCGGGTCTGTTGCGTCTATCACCAGCTTGTCCACCAAATCGGCCACTGGCGACAACGCCACGCCCAATGATCGTAGTTTACTGCCTCTACAAAGTCCCATATCGCTGAATCCTTTCGATGCGCCTTGGGATCCCTTCCTGGAGCTCACAGTCCGGTCAAGGGCGTCTTATCACATCGACGATTTATGAGAACACACACCAGTGGAAAGGCGAGGTTGGAGGTCGAACGCCCTTTTCCACCTATCATCCGCATCAAAATACTTAAAACTAAGAGTAGCTTCCTGCACCGCCAGTGAGCACACCTCCGTGACGTAGAGAACTTTCCAAAACGGGACTTATGCTTGCCGACTATAGCTACGCAACTTTCCAAACATCTTGCACATAAATTTAACGCGCTCGCACGCACGCGCGCATAGGATATTTATTTGCGTATGGCCATCGCGCAATGCTCTGCCCACAGGTTAACCTCAACAGAACCTATCCCGGGTTCGTCACGCCCCCCTTCCCCCAACCATTTCTTAACCAGTCTCTCTTCTTCGAACCAGTTTTTCACGTCTCTTACAACATTCTAGTCTACGACGCACATTCTTCGCAATTCCTTCATTAACACAACATACCTGCTGAATGGACCTTTGACCGCCACGCCTGGTCCCCCCGACAATCCCGCCCTTTTATTAGAATATTTATTGGGGATTTTACATCTTTATGAGACATCCTTTTTCACTATAACAAATAGTTTTGCACGCCACCAACTAAAAACGGTACATATAGGGATGTAAAAAGAGGTATACGCAAGAAACAGGAAACTTTCACCCTCTTACTCTAGTGACCCAATGCGATCCGGCCCTGTGGAGTGAGCTACGAGGGGCCATATGGGCAGCACCGATACTGGCTGGTTCTTCACTGCGGTATCTATCCACTAATTTGATTTTTTTTATTTGATCTTTGAACACCGTCAACTTTGCTTCAAATAGTTTTCATAAACTTTCTGATTTTAGATCGTTCCAATTGGGGTTTTATCCGAAGACCTAAGAGTCACAAAAAAGTTTTTCAGGTATTCCATCACAAATCAGAAACATCCGAAAATATAGGTTGGAAGGAAAGTCCTGTCAGTGTTTTTTGAAAAGCTTACAGTTTTTGATTCTCGATGCTCGTACATGACGTAACATGCTATGCTTGTAGGACACTCTGGGAGCTTTCCTGCAAGAGGCGTGTGAGGGCCTGCTCTTCCCTGGGTTTAATTACGATGTCAGTTTCACAGGAGTATCTTCGGGTCATCATCTTCTATCAGTGGCCCGCGGCACTGGAGCCACGGCAGCTGTCCGTAACATCAACAGTGCATTGGGGAGGACACACTACCGTCAGGACCGTTCACTTTTAGTTCGCTCGCTTCGCGAAAAGAGACTCGATCCTCGAAGACAAACCTTGGTTGGGACGGCCCCAAGAAGTGGAACACTCCACCATTCTCGAAGCAGACAAGGGGGATCCAGAGGCTACCACTCCCAGTCTTGCGACAAGACTCGGATGTACCTAACTGACAGTCGTCCACCGCCTGTAAGCCTTTGACTACCAAGAAGTACTGGCTCGATGGATCACTCATACCTTGACCGATGGCACGCTGTGCACCCGGGTACCCCTTGGTCAGTCTCCCCTTCTCCGCCCTCCGTTAGAAGGAGTTTCCAAAGACTGTTTAGTGGGGATGAGAGATGGGTTCCTCTATGATTTCAACCCACACAGTACCGTTTGTCTCTCTCAAGGAGAA